AAAATTATATTTTTTTATATATGTTTTTCTTAAAAGTTTTAAAGATTTGACATTCTCTTGAGACTCGGTTTATTAAAAAAAAGTTTGGCATTTCTCTCTCATCTATGCACATCAAGTGCAGCTAATAAGAGATACTTTTTCTCTGGTGGCTGCACAGCTGGATCTAAAGTTCACAATGTATATACTTAAGGGTTGAAATCAGTTGGAATAAATGCTACCAATTATTTTTCTAAGTTCAGTTTCATGAAAAGTCAACCTCACAAAAAACAGGTCAAAAATAATTCATGTTTTGTTTTTTTTTTAAAGTAATTCATGTTTAAGTGTTTAAGGTAACCCACCTGAGAGGGGGAGGTCTGGGATATCCAAGCGCTGAGTCATCCCTTTGCTGGTTGGCCGAAGGCTGCTGTAAGTTGAATGCCTCTATCAAGACAAAGGGCACAGGAGCAGGGGTGAGCTCGCAACATCAAAACATCAAAACCAGCATAACATGAGTGAGTGAGTGAGTGAGTGAGTGTGTGTGTGTGTGTGTGAGAGTGAGAGAGAGAGAGAGAACAGTTCTTCAGCACATCAGAATCACCACAGGGAACTTTCAAAATAACTTAATTATTTGAATAGATAATAGATGCAATCAGTGCAATCCTCAAATGAAAAAGGGCAAATAGTGAAAAGAAAGTATATCCTTTTCACTTCTGTCACCCATTTCTTTTTCCCAGAGGTAATATTAGCTTTGTGAATATCCTCTCTGGAATATACATTCAAGGATATGCGTATAAAAACTAGTCTCTTTTTTTAATGGCTGACTAGTTATAAGAAAAGATGTCCAACATCACTCATCAGGGACATGCAAATCAAAACCACAATGAGTTATCACTTCATTAGCATTACGAAGGCCATTATAAATGACTAAAATCATGCCTATAATCCAAGCACTTGGGAGGCTGAGGCAAGAGGATCACCAGGAATTGGAGGCCAGCCTGTGCTTGTGGTGAGCTCAAAGCCAGCCCGAATTACAGTGAGACCCTGTATCAAAAGAAAAAACAACGAAAACAACAAAACCCAGAAAATAACAAGTGTTCATAAAGACGTGGAGAAATTATAACCTTTGTACCCTGCTTATGGCAAGAAAAAATGGTGTAGTGTTGCTATGGAAAACAGTATAAAAGTTCCTCAAAGAATTATAAATAGAACTACCACATGACCCAGCAATCCTACTTTGGGGTAATTTATCCAAAATCAGGATCTTAAAGAGATATTTCCACATTTGTGCTTATTTCAGCATTATTCACAATACTCAAGATATGGCAACAACTGAAATGCTCAGCCACAGAGAATGGCAAGCTGTGTAGAGTTTTAGTCATACAAATCAAGAAAGTGCTAGAGCACTGCTATATAAGACCATGCCTATTGTTAACAATATTGTATTGTGCACTTAAAATATTTGTTAAAAGTGCAGATTCTCAAGCATGCACAAAGCCCTGGGTTTGATTCCCAGCACCATCAAAAAAAAAAGTGGGGAGGAATGTCATGTTATGTTTTTTATTCTGTACCATCATTAAAAAAACCTAAGTTTTAAAAAGATGCAAATGTTATCACACCATTAAACTGTGTACCATTTAAGCTTAAGTTATAGAATTTGTAATACATTTTTTCTTTATAGAGTGGTTTTCTGCTGTAATTCTCCATCTTGTCATTTTTTTTGCTTAAATGTATTAATCTCAGCTTTTAAAAAATTCTCTAACAATATCAGTAGCTGGATCTCGTGTCTTTAAAATTTTTTTTATTAGTAGATGTGCATAGTACATGTACCTAACACATCTTAATTCTTTTTTTTCATCCCCTTTCCCTTTCCTCCCTCCCCTCTCCATCTTGATCCACTTGCATTTTAAATAATATTTTTATTAAGTCAGGCAAGGTGGTGCACACCTGTAATCCCAGTACTCAGGAGGCTGAGGCAGGATGATTGCCATGAGTTTGAGGCCAGCCTAGGCTACACAGTGAGTCCAAGGCCAGCCTGAACTACATAGAGAGACTCTGTCTCAACTACCCCCCTCCAAATTTTTTTTATTAAAATATTGTGGGGTTTTTGGGTATATGTTTATAGTATATAATGTTTACAACATTGTGTAGAGCTGGTATATGTATATAACACATCTCAATGCCTTTTTTTCACCCCCAATCCCTTCCCTCCCTCCTCCCTCTTTCTGTTTCTCTCTCTCTCTCTCTCTCTCTCTCTCTCTTTGGGTACTGGGATTGAACTCAGGACCTTGCGCTTGCCAGGCAGGTGCAGCACCACTGAGCTAAATCCCTGGCCATCTCCTTCCATCTCTTAATCCCCTTCGCCTCTGAGAAAGATCTCTCTACTTCCTATTATCTGCCTTTTATTTTGTTCGCTCTCTCTTTTTTTTTTTTTTACTTTGGGTTTCTCATATAAGAGGAACAATGTGATATTTAAGCTTGTGTGTGATTTATTTCACTTAACATTATGGTCTCAAGGTGCATTCATTTTCCCACAAATGACACAAATTTATCATTTTTTATGGCACAGAAGGACAGTACTTCATTGTGAATAAATACCACATTGTCTTTGTCCATTCTTCTGCTGATGGACATATAGGCCTGAAGATTTAGCTATTATGAATTGTGCCGCTATAAACATGGGTATGCATGTATCACTATAATCTTGGTTTTTAGTCATCCGGTGTATCTACTTGTATGCCTGTCATTTTTTAATTGACTGCATGACTATGTATTTAAAAACTGTAGATGCAAGTTGAGGTTTAGAGGATATAATCATCCTCCAGCATATTTACTTGCAGAAGGCAATTAAAATAAGGGAAGATCACCTAAATCTAAACCTATATTTCTATGAATTTTAACACTGAACAAATATAAAGACTTCTTTAAGATATTAAAGGAAAATATTTTAATAGAAATATATTTTAAGGGGACACAAAAACACTTCAAGTCATAAAACAAAACACTGAACAAAGAAACATTAAATGGCTCTTCATTGAAAAACAACTACAAAGAGTTAAAAAGATAACAAATAGTAGCAATATGTATGAAAAGAAATGTTCAGAAGCACAAGGCATCAGGATGTGTTGTAAATTGGGAAAAGACTAACATTGCAAAATAAAACTGGGGAAAGCACATGTAGCCACACACAAAAGATACATAATAATGACCTATACACATATAAAAAAATGTTTAACTTTACCAATGAACAAAAGAGCAAGGTATCACACTGTTCATTAACTCAAACCCTCAAAATTTACAGAAGGTTTCAAAATTCTGGGAAAAATCACTTTATATAATGCAAGTGGGAATGAAGTAAGAGATTAGGGCAAAGAAAAAAATGACTGAGCAAGTTGGTATGCCCTGTCAATCATGTGCAGAACACATGTACAAAACACAGAATCTGCAGCACTACACACAGGACCAATCAGAAAGTTCTATCTTCAATTCTTCATTGACATCTGGTGAGAAACTTAAGTGGGCCTTAGCTAGGACAGCTTAAATTGAAGTGAGTTTTCAATAGGACAACTGTCCCAAATGCCTTGTTTGCATGGGACAGAGGCAATCTAGGAATTGGAGATACAAAAGACCCTGTCATTACTCCTTGTGGCTGCTATGAGTTTGCTCACTGGCCTCCTCTCACTCTACAGTGTTTTTTTGTTTGTTTGTTTGTTTGTTTTTCTGAGACAGGGTCTCACTATTTAGTTCAGGCTGGCCTTGAACTCACTATGTAGCTCAGGCTGGCCTCAAATTCACGGTGATCCTCCTGCCTCAGCCTCCCGAGTGCTGGGATTACAGCCACGCACCATCATGCCCATCTAGAGTGACTTCTTTTCCACTTTCAATAAATGTAAATCCTTGTTACCATTTCTGAAAAGATTGTCCAGTTCTTTGTTTAGGAAACCAAGAACTTGGAAAGAATCACTTCTGGACCCAAAAGCCAAATTGAAGGGTAATGTGTCAAGCTTTTCCATGTACCAAGACAGGGCAAATCCATTTCCTTTCCAAGTAATCCATTTTCCATTTCTAGGAATCAATTTCTAGCAGATCTTAGGACTGGCTTACTCAACTCCACTGTAGTTCCTTTGTATGGTAACTTACTGAATTAAAAGCGATTGGAAAGTTAAAGAGTATATTTTCCACACTCCCTTAAAGCTTGGTTCAACAAGTAACCCACCTTCTGTCAACAGATCCATTCTCAGAAGATCTGGAAGGTGCAAGGGAGGGTAACTACCCTTCTTCAGCTTTTGCTGGCAAGAACAGTTGGGCAGACATTTGCTTTTATGTGGCAGTGGAACAGAGGTGTCTCCTCCCATAGTTTTATGGGTGTTACAAGGCAGGACACGGGGCATTTGTTTTGCTGACACATGTGTGGTCCTGACACCAAATGTAGATCTTGACAGAAGTAGAAGCCCTAGGCAAGCACTTGGGAAAAGGCTCTGATTCTGGCAGAAATAATAGCTCCTTTAATGAGCCATCTTGAGATGTTCTGAGAGCCTTTTTGAAAGGCTCAGTTAGCCTTCTTTCTCCTTCATCCCTTCTAGTACCAAAACCTCTGTATTAAATTCTTTTCTACTTAATCTGTAAGAGTAATTTCGAATATTTGCAAATATATCCTGATACATTCTTCTATGGAAATATTTCCCTAAGAGGTTAAAAAATTGTGTGAGGATTTTCACTGTATTGTTGTTACTGTAAGTTAAATTGAAAACAATCTAAATGTCCATAGAAGAGCCTCTAAACAAATCACTGCATATGATGTATCCTTTAAAAGTTATTTCCGACCCCAGCAAGCACAGAGGAGGTGAGCCTCTCCTAGCACACAACAGAAGGCTTCTGGGCTGCCTTACCACCCCCACAAGCACAGAGGAGGTAGAAGCAACTCCCCCCACCCCCGCCCTGCCGGTCCAAATGAGAAGACATATGAACAAGTCTCAAAACCAGACTCCCAGATCACCTACAGCAACCCCAAACGGAAATGAGATGGAACACTCTGATAATCAACCACATGGACTCCCTGAACTAGCAACAAAAGATATGGAAAAAATGAAATCAGAAATAATTTCTTGGATAACAGCAGAGATTGTGCTCATAGTGCAAGACATGATTAATAAATCTAGAGAGGAGCTGAGGAACATGATGGAATCCCAA